GGCGGCCTGTGGGACAGCACTGACTGTGGTTGGGGGGGAACAGAGGCGGCCTGTGGGACAGCACTGACTGTGGGGGGGGGCAGAGGCGGCCTGTGGGACAGCACTGACTGTGGTTGGGGGTGGGGTGGGGATATTCGTCTACACGCACTTACACATGCATCTGTGTGGAGACCGGAAGACGACTGTGGATCTCGTTGTTCAGGTGCTGTACTAGTTTTCGACACAGTTACTGCACTGGAGCACACCAGGCAGGCAAGGCTGCCGGCCAGGGAGCTCCGGGGACCCACCTGTCTCTGCCCCAGCTCATTTCTCACACAGGAAACACCCCACACAAGAATCCCAGGTGTGGCTCTACACTCTTGGGTTTTCTTCAAAACTGCGACAGAAGCCAGAGTTTAGCAGCAGAGGAGAAGCAACCTGGCTCTGAGACCTTCCCCTCCCCTGTTTTGCAGGCTCTCCTGGCCCTTTTGCTGCAGTTGGAGAAGAAAATTAATTTTGAAATCTGCTTGTTATGCAATGCTGAAGAAATTCCGAGACAGGCCAAAGACCGCTTCCTTGATCCCATTTCCAGTGGAGGAAACAGGACCCGAGCCTCCTCTGGAATCGGCAGAGTTCCTCTCAGTTCCTACAGACTTAACACCATTTCTGCTGCTTTAGAGTGTTTGCTTCATGGGGACTAGGGGATGGCGAGAGTGTGACCTGAAAGCTGTTTTCCTCTATGGAGTTTCCTCTCTTGTCCTTTTTCTTTTTCTCACCTGTGTCGGGGATGGGACGCCAGGCCTCGGCTTGCACAGGCCAGCTTTCTGCTGCCAAGCTGTACCTTTTATCGTTGTCTTTGAACTGAAAATAAATGTTTCTAGAAAGCCACCCTACCAGTGTCCAGCGGCTCTCGGGATGTCACTAACCACGTGAAGGTGGTGGGGTCATCAGCTGGCAGGTGTGTGGAGGAAATGGCAAGGGTGCCTGGAGCTCTGAAAATGGCAAGAAAACAGCCAGAGAGAGGAAAGCTTGGGCAGCTGACCTCCTTCAACTGTGGCAGGCTAGCACGCCCTCTTGGACCAGCCTGCACTAGCGGTACTTTTAGGTCCTAGTCAGGTCACTTCTCTAAGACATGCTTGCAAGTTCCTTCTACCATGAGTGAATCTCAATGGCCAGTCTATTTTCTGGGCCCACAGGGGTAGGAGCGGGCCCCTTAAAGGTCAGGTGTTTGGCAAATGTTTTTCCTTTGGCCCAACTGAATGCAAAGAGGAGAATGTTCTGTGACCTGCTCCCTACTCTTTGACCCCTCCTTGTCCCCTTTTCCCCCTTGCAATAATATAAAATTATGTAAAACTTAAAACAAAACCAATGATTGAGAAGCAAACAATAAGTAATTGTCCTCTGGGCAGTATAAGTGAAGTTGTCACCATAAATATCCTAAATATCCTGGGGCACATCCTGCAGGAACCTTCCTGGATGCCCTTATGATTCCCCAATTCCAGTGACCCTGCTCCGCTCATAATGCGTCTTTATGTACAAGTTAGCTTGTTCCAAAACCCTGAAAACCAGCGCGTGCCCAGAGCGCCTTTCCCGAGTGCAGTTTTGCTTAGCAATCCTACAGTGCCCTTCCTTGTCTCTGTACCTCTTTGCATTCACGCTCACCCTTCCCCCTCAATAGTTACGCCTATGTGATGACACACAGAGCGAGTATAGTGGAACGCACTCAGAAAGCAGGAACTCATGGCAAGCTCATGGTTAAAGAGTTGTGGCCATATGCTCCCCGCCTCCACCATATGGCCACCTGCTCTACGCCTTCCCCTCTGTTTGGACTGTGTTCGCTTAAACCATAAGCCAAAATAAATCATTTTCTCCTTAGGTTCCTTTGTCAGGAATTTAGTCACAAGAGCAAAAGAGGTAACTGATCCAATCTCCCATGTTGGAAAACCGTTTGGAGTCTCATTCAAGAGCTAAGCAAATAACTCACCAATTTCCTAAGAGCGGGTTAGTGTCCACGGGCCTGCACAGCAAATGACGGACACTGCAGAAAGGGTCAAAGTAAACCAGACTGTGCCTGTTCCTAAAGGGCCAGGTCCTCTCCTCTTGTCTCCTGTTTGTGGGGTTCTGTAACAGGCACTCCAAGTTCTGAACAGAGGACATTGGAGATGGCCTTTCCAAAGGGCTGTTCATGATGACACCTGCTGGGCCTTTCTTTCCCTCTCAGTCAGGCATTTGCTTCTTTTTTTTTTTTTTTTTTAATTTTTTTTTTCATTTGCTTCTTAAATGGAAGAAAGACACCACAAATTGGAATTAAAACCACAGTTGAGCCTTCAAGATAGAGACAAAATCAAATCCTTAGCTACGTTACCATCTCAGCTCTGTCATCTGCATCCTCCCATTCTCCTTCCTCTGAGCTAAGCCCTAGGGAGGCAGCGCCCGGGTCCAGTGCATGCAGCCTCGAATCTAGCATCGCTTCCCTACGGCCAAGGTTATCTACAGTGGTCTGCTCCTTGAGGCTGCGCTAATTGGGCAGGCCCATTGTACTCGAGCTAAATTTGCCCGTATGCGGTAAGTGAACAAAGATAACCTCTCTGGACTCTTAGCAGTAAAACCCTCCGCCCAAGCATTTGGGCTAAATTATGCACTTACTCCGGCTTTATAATCATTGCTTTAGGAAAGCTGGTCCTGAGACCATCTTTAGAATTACCTGAGAGCCTTGTAAAAAGTGAAGCTTTTGTTGGGGATGTGGCTCAGCTGGTAGTGTGCCTGAAAACCATTCAGGAAGTAGCTCCCAAGAGGTGGAGATCTGAGGGTCAGGAGTTCAAGGTCACCTTCAGCTACATAGCAAGTTTAAAGCTACACATGAGACTGACTCAAAAAATAAATAAAAATTAATCTTTCCTCTTCTGTAGCCCATATGATTCTGAGGTTGCTCCTGGGAATTTTCTTAACATCTTTGCTAGATGATTATTCTCCAAGCTAAAGATTAGGAATTAACCTGACCTCCAGCTTTGTGTCATCACTGAGCCAGCACAAGGCTAAACACACAGGAGGTCTAAATAAATACTCCTTGAAAGGTTGAATGATTGTTGACGGCAGCCACCCCCCTGATAAGAATTCGTTTTACAGCCCCTTCAGAGCCAAGTAACTCAGCCCTTCCCTGGATTGTTTTTCTTCCCTAGGCTCTCAAGTCCCCCAGGTTTCATTCTTTCCCAGGTTTTTGACATATGGAATCACTATGTAGACCAGGCTAGCCTATAACTTGAGATTCTCCTGCCCCCGACTCCCAGGACTGGTCACGCCCAGCTCCCAGTTTATTTATGTGACCTCTTAGGAAGGGTCATTTGACAGCAATGGGGAGATGAGGTCATAAGAGTTTCATTGCTCCCATCCCCCAAAACTTGTCGAACAAGCCACCAAGAGCTGAGTACCGCCTCAGACAAGACATCAACACTGCTTGGAGGGTAAAAGGGCTTGAGGAGGGGGCTCCCTGGAAGAACAGAGGCTGTGTCTGCAAGTGAGGCTTCGCACCTACCTGCGGGGGGGGGGGGGGGGGGGAGACCCTCCAGGTTTTGAGTTCATTTTCATAAAACATCACAGTCTGATGGGATTCCCTAAACAATCTATCTGGGCCTCTTGGGCAGATTTAAAGATCCCAACTTCCAGATTTGTTATCACATATTCATCTCATGATTAAAGGCAAGTTTATTCCAAAAATGGCCCGTGCCCCATGTCTGTGTTTTGGGACAATCCAGCTCAGAGGAGGCCAGTGGGAGTGCTTTGCCCTTGTCTGAGGTTACAGTGTTTATGTAACAAATCAGCTCAACTTAAATATTTCTCATTGCTCGGTCAGGGCTGCAGCCTCTGCCCAGCACATCGCCATGAATGTCACCGTTTATACAGCCCTGTGTGGGCATCTGTGTTTATGGAAAAGGACCCCAAGACTTCAAAGCCAGTTAATATTTTTCAAGCATACATGTTGCTTGCGTGCTCTGCTATAAAGACAGCGAAGAGACAATTTTCCCAAAACCAGCAGCCCAGTCTCTTTGTGAGTATGCTTAAGAGCAGAGCCATTTAATGAATGCGTGTTTGGCAAAGCCTTACAATTAAGGAATTTTTCTTCCTCAGTAATTGCCTGAGTCCCGATAATTCTTCTCTAAGTCAGCCTCCTGATGCGCCCCCACCTTGACAGAGACAGGGTGTACCAGACAAAGAGCAGAGGCAGACGTGGTGAGAGAACACACAGGCTCTCCCGGGTTCAGGACAAGCCAGCTAGAGAAATGCTTTCCAATTTCATCATGGAGATCGGAGCCAAAGGAGTTTACAGGGACCAGGGGAAGGAAGAGCCTTCTACATAAGGGCCCCTCCTGCTGAGTTTCAGACGGCGAATTTCAGGCCTTGTTTGAAAATTTGAATTCTCAGAATATCAAGTACCCTCCTCCAACCTCAAAATGTGAGTGCAGGGATTATTCCCAAGCCCAAAAGAAAAATGTAAATTATTCATGCCACCTAGCTCGTCATTAGAACAGATAATTGCAGTAACTGTAAATACTGTAAACAGAAGTGACAGGAAAAGGATCATCTACAACGAACTACAGATGGACAGAAACCCCCCCCCCCCGTAAGTGCTGAATAATTAGGGAGGCTGAACGCCAAGGATGGTGGGAGGCCTGAAGCAGCCGGAGGTGGGAGTGGCCTCGGGCAGAGACCAGAAGAGCGACCCACTGCGGAGCGGGAGGCACAAGTGCAAGCCACGCTTGGGCAGCGACCAAGCCAGTTTGCAGAGGGTTCTGGACCCTGGGAGGCACGAGTGACAGACAGAGCCTCTTGACAAAAAGCAGGTGCACGCTGTAGGAGACATCTCAGCTGCTCCGCTGGGCCAGCGGCTGCACTGCAGAGCTGAGCAAGGTTCTCGGGAAGGAATGCCTGCCCCTCACGGTAGCTCTGCCCTCTACATACTGCATGCTGACTATGTGTTTTCAAGACAGGATTTCTTGGTGTAGCCCTGGCTATCCTGGACCTCAGTCTGTAGACCAGGCTGGCCTCTGTTGCAGGGCTTTCAGACCTGCCAGCGGTTTAAATAATGACACAGAGGCTTACCAATGTTTAAATGCTTAGGCATTTAGCTGGGCAGACTCTCAGCTAGCCCATCTAAATTAATTTGACTATTCCGGTCCACGTCCGGCCACGTGGCCAGCTCTAGCTCTTTGCTCCTGTTCATATCTGAGCACCTCCATGTTCCACTAGCAAATCTCCCAGTTCTGCTAGTTCCACCCTCACTTCCTGCCTCAGCTGTCAGCTCTTTACCAAAGCCAATCAAATTCAATGCTAGACTGCCTTAGCAGGCGAGGAAAGATGTATGTTTACCAAATATGAGGCCGCTATAGTTCTCTGCCAGAACAGAATTAACAATTGAATATACAGACACATCTTCACACATTGCAACAGGCTCGAACTCATAGATCCACCTGCCTCTGCCTCCTGAGTGTTGGGATTAAAGGCACGAGCTACCACTGCTTGGCTTACTAAAAATGTTATTTTTAAGTATTTTCTAAAACACTTTAATGTACCACATTGTTAAAGGACTTATTTTAAGTTCATAGACAGAAGTCATGAAGTCCACTAGATAAATGTTAGCTATGGCTATTCCTGTAATGTAATAGGGCCACTATTACAGCTGGGAGGGGAAGGCTGGAGAAGGCTGGACTAGGGATTGAACTCAGAACCTCATATGTGCTAGACAAGCACATACCACTAACTACCTACCCAACAACAAAAAGCCAAGTGTCTAAGAAGCTAGACTTGCCTAACATGTTGATCTGGTCATTGTGCATCGAAGTGGAGGGGCCATACTGTATACCATAAGCATGTATGATGTTTGATTAAAAGTA